TATTATTATTATTATTATTATTATTATTATTATTATTATTATTATTAATAATAATAATAATAATAATAATAATAATAATATGAATATGAATATGAATAAGTCAAGGTGGCAAACATATCCAACACACCTTCCTCCTTCTATTTGCCCAATAACTACAATCCTATGATGTGAGCTGGGCTGAGAGAGAATGACTGGCTGGCTTTTATGGCTAAGGCAGCACTAGAACTCACAGCTTCCCACTTTCTAGCCTGATGCCTTAACCACTAGACAAAACTGGCTCTTTTTTGTATAGAAATATTTGCTAAACTGTATCATTTAACTTGCCTTCTCCTTTATGTATTCATTAATATGAATTTGAGCCTAAGTTTATAATAATTCATTTATAATAATAATTTTGCTCTTGCATCAATTGCGTTTCTTAATCTCTGATTGCAGGTGATTGCCTGAGGAATTGATTGGGCATCGGAAAAGAACCTCTGAACTTAATAAAATGCAATCACATTATGGCTCAGAGAAATATATGAACCAGTCCAAGGGTGAGAGAGCAGCTATAGTCAAAGGTAATTCAGAGACGGCACCTACCAGGGGAAAAAGAGCTGTAGTCATGTTTTTCACCACTTCCCGTGTAATAGCAGTGGAAGTGTATCCCCAGCGACAGAGATGGAATCCGAGAGCCCAGTAAGGAGGCATGAATGGGTAGCCTAGAGGAATTTAGAGAGAGAGAGAGGGAGGGAGAGAAGGGAAGGGAGAGAGGGTTTGGGAGAGAGAGAAAGAGGGATGGAGGGGGAGAGAGAGAGAGAGAGAGAGAGAGAGGGATCAACATTCAAAACCTCTCAAAACCATAGGCACTCCCGAATCTATCATAGCAAAATAATTTAAATAACATACTCACAATATGCCTGAACCTTTCAACCCCAAACCCAACCTAGCATGGCTATTTTCAAGGTTAAGCTTACATCTAAGACCCTGCTTTGGATTGCAGCTTAGGCGTATAAAGGGCTGCTTCTAATACCTAGGCTAAGTTAGGATATAGAGTAGAGAGAGAAAAATGTCATTGCAGACCCTGGATTTAGACTCTTCACAGATAAAGTGATTTTTTAAAAAAATGTAGAAAGGGCAGATAAAATAGACTTAGCACGTTATTATCAAACTGTGGATTATCGTTTCTTCAGAGAAGCCTTTCTTGAGCTGATGCCTTGCTTATGTTTTGTACAGTATATCGGCTGGGAATTTCTGAGAACTAAAGATGTCAAGCATTTAATAAGCCAACTTCAAAAAGGAAGTTCAAAGGCTCTTCTCAATCTCTTCTGCATGCCTTTGGGGGGGGGGGGGGGGGGTGTTTCAGAAATGTAAAAAAGATATCTTATCTACCCCAAACTATTCTACCCTGGTAACTGTTGGAGGGAGTTCTTCATGAAGGATACATTTTCAACTACTCCAATGTTTCTCAACCTTGGCAGTTGAAGCCCATACATCTCTGAAGCACATACATCTGCCAAGGTTGAGGATCACTGATCTATTCTTTCCTGAGCACCATCCAGATGCCTGGACTTCAAATCCCAGAATTCTGCAGGCCACTGCTAAGAACTTTGGAGTTTAAAGCCCATATGACTGCCCAGATTGTTGGGGGCAATATGCAAATAAGGCTTCTAGATTGTAAACCTCCCATAGAGTGCTGTAAAGCGCTTGGTGAGGTATATAAACCTAAATGCTATTATTGGAGAACATCCAGATTGGATGAGACTTCTAATTAGTACAACAGAAGCCTGAATCAGGGTTATTTCTCCCATCTCTCGGATTTATAAGTGCTCCAGCACCAACACACCATTCTCTGATAGAAGTCCATAAGCTAGAAGAGCCAGAGATTTTCTGGCAGAACACTTCAATATTAATGACAAAAGTAGTCCTTGCTTTCAGAAGTGTTTAGTAATCACAGAGAACTACTAAATAACTTTCTTGAAAGGAAGCCAGTCCTCAAAATGCTGCCTAGCTTCACACAAGGGAAGATGCAAATGCTTACCAATAACATCCATGTACTGGCGCACCACACTGCTTGGATCTGGGCCCAAGAAGACATAGAAATCCAAGATACCCCCAGTAGTTCTCCATGTCAGAGCTGGACTGGGCTGCAGTAACACATCTACAAGACAAACAGTGGCTTGGAAATGCTACTAGAAGGACACAGCATACCACCTGTACATTGTAGAAATACTAGCAGGATTTTACTCCCACAACCTCCATACAGCCATTGTATTCCATTATCAGACACTCAGCCTTGGTTGGCTGCTTAATGGCTACTCTTGCCTCTATGCTGACAAAGAGCTGTTTCCCACCATATAGCCAGTTCCCTTTAATTGAAAGAGGTACAAATATTGTCCTTTTACATTCAGCAGATGTTTAACTATGGAGGAAAGAAAAGGAAACTTAAATAGTATTTGTCAGATCAGAGCCTTAGTGTAATTAGCATCATAAACGGCCTTAATTCTCAACATAAATAGTCAGGGTTACGCTAGTATACAGTGTAAGTAATCACAAAATAGCAGTTAATAGAACAAGCTAAATTGTTGAGGCTAAAAGGCAATTACATGAGCCAAACCTTAATTAGTAGACCAATTTGATTAATAGACAAGTCTTGTTTGCTAGTTAAGGGACTAGGCTAGAAGCCAGGAGAGTGTGAGTTCAAATGCTGCCTTAGCCATGAAAGCCAACTGAACGCTCTTGGGCCAGTCACCTCTCTCAGCCCAACTCACCTCACAAATACAAAATAAAAAAAAGTCAGAATCTCTGCTCCAAATCATAAAATGGCTCCTTCAAATACACATGGCTTTGGTACACACAAATCATGGTTAGGTTATTTTGATCATATCTAAGCTTGACCTAATAGGGATGTGATCTGCTACAATACCTACCCATAGCATTGCTGTTCAGTAAGAAGACTCCGTGGGCCAAACCACCCTTTTCTAAAACCACGTAGAAGGGGTGGGAACCATACAAATTGGCAGAGGGCTAAAAACACAGAAATAATACTGCATAAGGTCAATGCTGTATTGGACAACATGAACATTTCAGCAATGCCTTGAGCTTTTAGCACTTCTTTGGTAGTCTCAAACAAGCAAATACTTTTTCTATGATGGCCCCTTTACACTATTTTTTAAAAAATCAAGTGTCAATTAAATGACAGCCTAAAAAGTCTATCAAGCAATTGGATCAAGCAAGCTTTTGACTCTGTTTTCCAGGCTTCCATAGATAGAGGGCCAATCACCAGTACAGCATTATATCTGCCATGGTTCATGCCAACAATGTGGGGTTTCATGGACAAAGGATATGCTGAGAATGCTCTCCAGAGCTCTCAAAAGCTTTGCAGAGAACTACGGTTCCCATAGGAAGAAGAAATTGCAGACTAAAGCTGATTAAACAGTAGAATGCCCAGGTGGGATCTGTCACCTAATCTTGCAACATGACACTATTCAGAATTCCAGTCAAAACACACAACTTAATTCTACTTGTCATTATTTCTTCTTCAAAAGACCCTGCTATCATATGGCCATTGAATATAACTCACATTTCACCGGGTAACTGTATGCTTGTGGGTTTTTTTTCTTTACCCCTCATTATTTCTAAGTTTTTGCCAATTTTGCACAAAATACTGGAATTATTCCTACGAAATTTGTGCATCAGTGCATGCTAAATCTGATCCTTAGCCCTGGGCATACGAACTTAAGATCAGATGATCACTGCATACCATCCTGATTAAATTCTTAATGACCCTGTCCTTTCAGGAGACCTTGCCACCCTCCTGTCATTTACCACAGGTGATATGTCCCGATTCCACAAAGTAATTTTGGTCCAATTGACACTCAGAGTAAGAGGGGTCAGATGTTCACCCAGTCCGGAGATGAAACTTGATGGCAGAGCAGTGGAGATCTGAAGGAACTGGTCAGCACAGAACAGAGGAGCCACAGTAGTATTCAGCCTATTGGGAGAAAGTGGACACTTCCACCAGCAGTTTACAAATAAAGCCCCCTTTTTCTTTGACTTACCTCAATCTTTCTTGGAGGCTACTTCCAAATTCCTAATCTAATCTAATCTAATCTAATTCAGACACTGGTTGCATGGTGATCTACGCAGGTGTCCTCGTCCAAGAGTATGCTACTGCATGTCTGAATTCATCTTTAAAAATTCAGTTATGGAACATGAGGTTCCCAGAGATGCTCCTATCTCTTATGGGTTCAGTATTGTTCAATAAAATTATTGTTTCAACAAATCTTCAGGACAGCAATAGCAATAGACTTATATACTGCTTTATAGTGCTTTACAGCCCTCTCTAAGCAGTTTACAGAGTCAGCATATTGCTCCCCCAACAATCTGGCTCCTCATTTTACCCACCTCGGAAGGATGGAAGGCTGAGTCAACCTTGAGCCTGGTGGGATTTGAACTGCCAAATTGTAAGCAGCTGGCTGCTGAAGTAGCTTGCAGTACTGCACTCTAACCACTGCGCCACAGAGGATGATTGTGGGCATTCATCTATGCTTATTTCTGAAATGGTTACTAAAATTTTTGTGAAAGGTTCTATTTGTGGCTTTCTATTTTTGGTACATGGCCCAGAATTGGCCTGATTGAGGTATCTGAGGGAAAGACCAGAAGAATGAAATCCAGAGTTAGAGCTACTGCACGTCAGAAAAGATAAAACTCAACTCAGTGTCTCAATAATGCTGGTTAGAGATGGCTATTTCACATATTATATATTAAGTACATTGCTTTATACTGCAAAATATAAATCCACAAATGATACAAATACCTATTTGGAAGATATGCACATACATCAAAAGCCTGTAAATCCTTTCAGGTGAAGGCAAACGCTGGAGTATAATATGAAAATAGTCCTTCAACATCCAGAACAGAAGCACTAGTATAGCACACTCTCTCTCTCCCTCCCTCTCTCTCTCTCTCTCTCTCTCTCTCTCTCTCTCTCTCTCACACACACACACACACACACACACACACACACACACACACACAGGTTTCCCTATATTATCGTGATACAGCTATTCAATCTTCATTAGAATGATTTTCTGCTAGTTAAATACACTGAAGTAGAGGACTACCTGGAGCAGCAAAGTCCAGAGCTACTTACAGAACTTGGCCATTGGATTGTCGAAAAACAATGAGGCCAAAGGGATCAGCAGAGAACTGCACAGAATAGAGAGTCGAGGATTCCTTACTGGTGGTCTTGGGGGTTTCTAAAGGAACTTCGTAGCGTTTCCTAGCTGGATCCTTAAGCTGTGGTGGAAGAAACACAAACATTGTGCAATGCTACTCCAAAAATTGATGGTCAGAAATATCCAGTCAAGTTTCAAAGGGACTTGGCTTCTACTTCAAGATTATTTGTGAGATGAAAATGTGAAGTTATAATGGGTATGGAATTTGAAGTTACAATGAAATCCAGCTCTTCGGTTCATGAGGGCTTTTTATTGTCTGGTTAATTGATTGCCCACCTTTCAATTGATCTAATATGACATTTGATATTCCTGCAACTGGACTGTTATTTCTAAAACAGACATCTATAAGCAGAGCCATTTTTAAATAGTATAAAATAAAATCAAGGCTGCATTCTTATATGATTTTGCTTGGAAATAAGCATCAATCATTTCTGAATTGGTAGCAATGCATTTTGTTTATAATTTCTGTTTTTAGATGTCTGAAAATATATACATAATGAATAAGATACTTACATCCTACATACTTACAATATCTACATAATGTATTTGAAATATTAGCATATGCTGGATGTGTTTTGGTTACAGAGAAAAGCAAGGAATTAATTATGTAACTAAGAGTCACCAATCACATAAAGCCACTATGCATTATCATGATTTATTGAATAATATTAGCTGATTTATACATATTGTCATTGGCTCAATATCAGCAAAGCAATATCAAAAACTTCAGTTCTTTGCCGCCATCTAGTGATAGCTTAGTTTAGGTAGAGCAATTCTAGCTAGACCATAATTATGCTTCATGCAGTATACTGAGTTTATGCAAACTATTAAGCTAAAGCCAATACATTAACCTGATGTATGTACCCAGCCACTTATTCACTTCATTAGCCTTTGAAATTATTTTTTAAGTGCTAAGATTCATAAGAAAGTGAATTCTGGTCCTGGCAGAATTGCCAAAGGCACATAGCCTGGCAATAACCTTCTCTATTTAATTCGAAAAAGATTTTTGCTAGGGTTAGAGCAGGAAAAAGCAAAATTGGAGGATCATGGGCTGTAATACTGATGTCACTAAGAGACAGGTTAGGTACAAAGAACTTGAAAAAAAAATCTAGAACCTTAAAGAAGTCCCTACTCACAGTGAAGTGAAGCCTCCCCTTGGTCTCAAAGATCACATCCAGCTGCACATTCATGATGTCATCTGGCATGAAAGAAGGGACCCTGCGGATCAAGTGGGCAGTGTAGCCAGTCTGGGTGGCAGTTAGGTTTGTTATCTTGTAACTAGAGTAATTGGTAGGAAAGAAACACCATGGCTCCTTGGAAGAGACAGGGACGTAACAACATCCCCGAGCTTGACATTCATCTTGAGAGAGAAGCTTCTCTGGGGCACAATCAAAGCGGCTGTCTGGAGGGATGTTGCATTGCTTGGAGGACAGCAACAGGGGTTCCAACTGTTCTAGTTTCTGTTGTGGTACCTCTGAAACCCTGTCTTGATTCTTACCCCAGTGATCACCCTCTCTTTTAGAAGCAGCTATGGCTGCCTCTGAGGTCCTTGATAGTCCAAGCAGAGTGATCACAAACGCTAGAGTTGAATTCACCAGCATTGTTGTGCGCTTCTTCTTCCACCACAACTTCTGTCAGGCATTGAATTAGCACGGACTTCATGAGATTCAACAAGGAAGAGTTAGTTCCTCAGGAAGTAATAGGACTGATCATCTCCAGCTGTAGAGGACATGCAGAACAGACATGTTAATTCCTGGCTTGTGCTAAGATACATTGTCCAAGTTGACTATTCTTTGGAACCTAACCCTTGTGTTCAAGTTGGGAAGTCCCAAATGAATGTATGTCAGGCCTAGAAAATCTAAAAGTTACTCTTCTATATTCAATATTGATACCCATCAAAACAATGATACCCCACTGTTGTGGGCAAAAGGCAACAGGCCTATTGCTAATTTTTCCTTCTAAGTTGTATCAATCATGTAAAGCTACAGGTACTGATTTCCTGCAGAAAAATTTCCTGTGTCAGGAAATCTGACAACAATCTTGAAAGCGTGGGCATTACTTGGAACAGAAAAACCAAGACGACAGAATTTCCCTATAGGCAAAACAGACCCCATGTTGCCTACAGAGATACTCTTATCATTACATTATGACTCAGAATACAATCTATTATTTCAAAAGTAATTATACAATATTAATTGGAGATTATTCATGTTTTATTATTTAGAAAATGTAGTGAGAATACAAAAATGTTGTATCGATATTAATTACAATTGTTGGTGCTGTTTTTCCAAGCATAAATTTCTAACTGCCTTTTTGGTTTCTCAGTGCTGATTTGATCTAGTGGTTGAGGTACCAGGCCAGAAAGTGGGAGACCGTGACTTCAAGTCCCGCCTTGGGCATGAAAGCCAGATAGGTGATCTTGGACCAGTCACGCTCTCTCAGCCCAATCTTCCTCACAGTTGTTGTTGTGGGTAAGGAGAAAGAAGGTGTGTTGGATATATTCACTGCCTTGAGCCATTTATGAAAATAATAACGGCGAGATACAAACACACCCACACACACAAAAACAAATTTGTGAAAATGTGGTCACTGTAAGAGAAGAACCATATTCTTTTGCAGTAGCTAACAATCAGGAACCTGACAGAATCTTTTCAAACTGACAAATGTTATTAAAAGACATAGTTAAGCGTTTGTGAGTTACAGCCGACTTTCTCAGCTGCATCTGACGAAAGCTTCGGCCATAACATGTGTTAGTCTGAAGAAGTGCTACCAGATTCCTTCGAATTAATGGGAAAGTGTACAGTAGGGTGGTTTTTTTCATACTCGTTGACCCTGACCAAAATAAATCCCACAGCAATCCTGTCGCCTAGCCCGTCCCGCCTCCCTTCACAATTATCATTATCTGTGCAAAAAAAAAAAACACAACCCGCGGGATTTCGGGCAGCCCCCCCCTCCCAAAAATATTCACTTACGCGGAAACAGTCAGAAAAATTCCGCAATCAGCACAACGCGAAAGAAACAGGAAGATGCCCAAGAGTTTCCAACGGAGCACGTAAACAGCGGGTCACGTGACCAACTCTCCTCCTTCCAGGACGGTGTGGATTCCGTCTGGTTTTTTTGCGCTCCATGCAGACTCGCCGAATGGGCTGAGTCGCAGTCGGAGCTGGGTGAAAATCCGAACACCAACCAAAGGCACTCTCGCGGCCGTCCGGGTTTTTCTCGTTGTCCGGATTTTTTTATTTTTTTGCAGCCCGGAGATGGCAAGCTCACAGAAAAGAGCTTCGCTTCGGGTTTCTCTATTAAAATTCTTTAAATGAGGCGACGACACGCAATGGCTCGCCTTGGAAGAGCTGCTCCCGTACAAACATTTAGAGGATAGGATTATTTTTCCTAGAGAAAGTAGGAGAAATTTGCAAAACGTTTCCACTCCGTCTCTTTTCACACCTTTTCACACGTTATCACCCCGTTAACAAAGACCCCCTCTCACCGCAGCTGTTTTCAAATCTTGTCTTTCTTTTAGAGTTTAGAGGCTTTGGGGTGATAATAATGAAGACGTCCGTTCTATTTAGTTGCAAACGCAGATCTGCTTTTTAAATTGCTTATTAAAGTAATGCTATGAACATTCTTGGGAATTCAGGTAGAATTGGGAGGTGGATAATTAAATGTTGTCTAGTTACTGCTCTAAATTGAAGACAGAAGGTGAGTGTACTATTGGATGGCTTTGCATAATTTATTAAAAGTTAAGGCCGTTGAATAGAACACTTGTATTTTGGAATTTAGATGGAAAATACACAGGTAGTTATTAAAATATGTCCTTTTTAGCAATGACAGCTGGAATAACACAACAATAATAAACATGGCATTTTATTCCATAATACATGGAATGTTTTTCCATTAAAATGTCCTTTGTTGCAGATCTGTAACTGCATTCAAATTCTGTAACTATTTAACAAGTCCTTCAAATTAGAGCACATTTTTACGCCAATTTAAGCTTTTCGTTGTGGTATAATTTTGCATCATGTTTGAAGTATAGGGTTTAAATACTATGCCTAAGGATGATTTTGAAAAAAAAAAGTCTACCATTGAAAAAGCTTAGTTGAAATAAGCCAATTCCACAACTTTCTTTAAAATAATGGGAAGCTACATTTTGAAATTGCAGCCGCAATTAATGATTTTGCAGAATTAATATATATATAAAAAAATCTGATAGACTACAGCTAGTCCTTGACTTACAATTTCAATTGTGATCAGATTCTTGGTCATTGAGCAAAGCTATCAATGATCATGATCTTGGCTCTCCCAATTGTGGTTATTGAGCAAATAATGGAACTGCCATAGGAAGCTGTGCCTTGCATCAGCTTGGCTGTGCCTGTCAGCAACTGCAGAACAATGCAAAGATAAGGGACCCAAGTGTCCAGGAACAGGCCAAGGCTATGCACAGATTGGGTGGACGGCTGAGATGCGGGGAAGAGAGGGGCAGGTACAGGAAGTATTCGTCTACATTTAGATTTAGTACAGTAGTCCTCCACTTCCTTGGGTGGTGTTAAGTACAATCAGTTCCAATCAGTGGCAAGGAATTATGAAGATGAAGTTGGCAACAGCATCAGATTGCTTATCTCTCGGTATGATATAGCAGGTACAGCTCTATCTGTCAAGTTTTTGTTAACTTGAGTAAAATGAAAAAAAAAGTCACCTTAGAACAGACTTCCCCAATTTTTCCAGCTTTGCGAACCAGTAGGGGTGGGAGAGGGGATGATTGTGCCCAAGTGGTGATTAAGTGTGTGCACAGCTACATTTGCACGAGCAGCAGTTAAGTGCATGTGCAAGTGAATTGATTTGAGTGAGTGGTGGGCAAGTGTATGAGTGCAGCTCCATTTGCACGCCTGTTTGTGCAAATGGAGCACATATGTACATGCTGGGCTGCTGCCTATGTAAGTGGGGATGCCCGCCTACTTGCTCATTGCTTCCGTGGCCCAGTTCTGAACAGCTCACGGCCCAGTAGTGGGTTGCAGCCTGGAGTTGGGGACCCCGGCCTTAGGGCTCTGTCTCTGGTTTTATAGACAGCATTAAGCTATGATCTGTTTGCTTTTTTCCTTTGCATATGTATGTATGTACTCACTGCAATTTAGGATTATGGGTAAAGATGCCATTATGCCATCAATCCATAGTTTAACTTACATGTGAATCTAAGTATCAGTCTTAAAGCAGCAGTAGAAATATAGTTTTGACCTGAGGGTGGAATTCATCCAAAGTTCATCTGCAAACATGCACATCATCATGCACATCTATTTTACAACTACCTCCTTCTCAGCTGATCACTGCAGTATAAATGAAAATGGGAGACTTTTCATTCTATATTGAGGTTTAATATTCCCCCTCATCCTCCAATGTCATGAGGGATGAACATCCTTGCCCAGAAAATCTTAACCCCTGTTGACTGCTGGTTGGAATCTTTTCTTCATGAGGTGTTGAGAAAGTGAACTTTCTTTAAATGATCTTTTATCTTGTCAACTGCTGAACAGAAGAGCTGTCTTAGTATTATCTAGGAAGCAGGGGCTGAGGAGAGGAAGGAGACGCTGGAAGAAGAATCAAATGGAAAACTCTGCAGTTACATTTTGCCATAATTTTCTCTCATGGAATCTGAACATTTTTCAGAAGGACTTTTTATCCTGCGGAAAATTTCAACATTCCTTCCAACAATTAAGAATTAAATGTTTGCTGAATCCCTAGATGAACAGAACTAAGCAAGAAGATAAGGAATCCAACTTGTCTTTTTATTTAGGACAAAAATAAACACAGTGCAATGGAAAAAGCAAAATATGAATATAAAACACAGCTACCCTGTTCATCCCCCATCTTTCTCTTTCCTGTATACTATCCACTGACAAACTGTCAGGATTATTCTCACATCTATATATTGAAAATGTTGATATTCTCACATCTATATTTTGATTTCTTCTTGCTCCTGGATACTCAGTTCTTCCAGTTTCTGAGTTATTACTTGGGTAACTCTGCGCAATGGCTTGTGATAATAAGGATATTCCTGCTCAATCTGATGGAGAACGGTGTTAAGAGTACGCAGTCTCTCCTCCACCTTATGATGTTCAACACGGGTCATTATCTCAGAACGACATAGTAGGCTGTACCTCCCTTCCTTCACGGCCTGCATGTGCTTCACGCGTGTCTGGTTGGACACAATATCTGAAAGGTTCTTAGAAAAGCAACATTGAATTTGTTATTAGAGACAAAAGGCTGCAGGCAAGGCAGAAAGGAATGAATCCCCTCTGCTGCATCTTGAGACTGAATCAACTGATGAACAAAAATCTAGGTAGGCTTTATACAAGATTAAACCCTTTTTTAAAAATAGGCAGGGTCCCAAGAAGAAAATTGCATTGTGGGAACTGTCAGTAAAACCCCAAAATAAAATTAAACACTAATATTCCTGCAGATTTGCATGGACAAGTAGATTATTATACAGTAGTTGGTTTAATCCCTGTCTGTTCAGACAAAGAGCTCACCTAGGTAGTTCAGAGAACTTGAAGTTGATTAAGCGGCCTATTTTGCAAATTGTTGCAATAATACAAATTATCAGCATATATTTTGCTAAATGGTAAAGAAATAAAAAAAGTTAAAAACTGGACAGGATGCTTCAGCCGGTACCTAAATCTGTTATTTGGAATCCATGTAAGAATAGGTATATTTTTCCTCATTATGGGGCAACTATCGCAAGTTGAGTATACAAGATTACCGCCCTATAGATTAGTCCTAAAGAGAGTTGGAACATGCACTGCGCAAATGATCACTCTTGTTACCTGCCGTTTCATTGCTTGCAACTGATCAATTTTTTCATCAAATTCTTCTGCTTCATAATTCATACCAGAAAGTATTCTCTCCTTCTCCATAATAGCTAAGTTGAGGTTCTGCTGCGATCGTTCAAGATGAGTTATGGTTTTGTTACATTCCTCAATATTCTATGGGAATAGAGGAAAAGGAAAAAAAATCAACCCTCTTTCCCAGGACCAATCATTTGCCTGACGGTCCTGTGAGAGAACTGCCTACTATAAATTCTCAGAGCAACTTCATACATTATACTACCCTGAACAAGTGATTTCCCCCCTCTACCAACTTCCAGTGATATTCATGATGTAAGAAAATACATTTACATGCTCAACAGAAATATTTATTTTCCACTTAATATATAACTGGTTAGCAGTTGTGAATCTATGTTCCCTTAGTAAGCTCATGGTATACTTGTCAATAATGGTTAAATAGTGCCTATGTTTCAATATGTATTCAATCTGTATTGAAGCTGGGCAGATATATATCATCAATTAAATGAGGACTGGAAAACCTATCAGTGTTCAACATAATGACAAAAAATCAGTAATTCCTGCTTCCTTGTGTCTAGGGGTTGGGGGTGGGCACACACACCCTGCTGCCATTTTAAGCAATGCCCTGCCTCTGTAGATATTTCAAAAACAGGCTCCACCAGCACTGTCTAGAGGAGTTTGGCAGAACAGCCCAAAGTAAAACTATGGCACAAATAAATAATTTTCCATAGAATAAAATTCTAATCTTCATTTAGCTCCTTAATTTCTAGACTGCTATATTTTTCCTGACTCCCCAATCTCAATTCCTGGAAATTTTCTGTTCCCCTGACCTGGAGTTAGCCTTTGAAGAGATCCATTGTATCTCCCATGAGAGGAAAAAATGCAGAACAAAGACAAAAACGAGTTTCCCCTCCTCTTTTGAAAAAAAAAAAAAAGCATTTGAAAGGGGGAAACCTCACTCCTGACTTATCACTCAGTTTAACTTTTCTAAATATAGTGTTCCTGCTAACAGTGTCTTCAGGGTATGTTGGTCAAAAACTCTAACATGGTGAGTGCAAATTCTTGAGGCAGGAGGGCCTTTTTTCTGTGTGTGTGTCACACATATGCAAAACGGGCACTGCTTCACTTGCACTGTGATGTTGTATCTGCCATCTTGCAAATCTTGTTTGCCTCTTGCAGATGCAGCTGGTCTTTGGTTTCTGTCTAGACTGATAAATTAAATCCCCTTGACTGACCGA